CAGATGTTTTAAAATTTAATGTAGGTACGGTTACTTTTTTGGGTTTTTTTTCCTTGGTTTATACCTTGGGTCTTACAAAATCCTTTCTCAGCTCTATTTTATAAATAGCCTGTCTTATTTTCTAAAATGTAAAAGTCTTCCCTCCTATTTAGAAGCTTTAATCCACTTAGAAATGTTATGAATTATGTCAGGACCTAATTCCATGTAAGTACTCAATGGTCCCAACAGCATTTGTTGAAAAGTCTGTTTTCCCCCAGTGATGTGCTCTACCCCTTCTGTCATACAAAAAAATTTAAAAATTCAGAAATGTTGGGTGTGCTGGTGCCAACTGCATACCGCACTAAATACACAATTAAGTTCCCATCTATACTTCTTTGTCTTTAGGAGTGAATTGGTTACTCTTGGTTCTTTGCTTTGATTACAATTTATTTGAATCTATAACTTATTTGAGAGCTCATTCCTATCGATTAACAAGGTATAACTCTTCATTTATTTATTCCACAGTATCTTTCTACAAAATTTTAGAATTTTTTTTCTTTTTTTTCTTTTTTTTTTTTTTTGAGAAGGAGTCTCGCTCTGCCACCCAGGCTGGAGTGCAGTGTAGCCATCTCAGCTCACTGCAAGCTCCGCCTCCTGGGTTCATGCCATTCTCCTGCCTCAGCCTCCCGAGTAGCTGGGACTACAGGCACCCGCCACCACGCCCAGCTAATTTTTTTTGAATTTTTAGTAGAGACGAGGTTTCACCATGTTAGCCAGGATCATCTCGATCTCCTGACCTCGTGATCTGCCCGCCTCAGCCTCCCAAAGTGCTGGGATTACAGGTGTGAACCACCATGCCCAGCCAATTTTAGAATTTTTTAAAAAGGGTCATGCATATCTTTGATTGGATCTTTTAATTAGATTTATTTATTCCTAATGTGTAGAAACGTAGTTTTTACATATTGATCTTACATCTACCAACATTGCCAAGCATTTTTTCCTTCTAATAATTTGAATGTAAATTCTTTTGGATTTTATGTAAATAATTGCATCATCTGTGATTTATAAAGGTTTTTTCCCCTTTTTCAATCTTTATATCTCTTATTTAACAGAAATATTTTTAATGTTTTTTTATTATTATACAGTTTTGATCCCTTTATGAGGCAAAGAAATTTCCCTTCTATTCCTAGTTTGCTGGAAGATTTTACCATAAGTATTGTAATTTAGCAAATGCTTTTTCTGTACTCATTGAGATGATCATATGGAGTTTCTTTTATAATTTATGAGGTGAATTATCTCAGTAGGTTTTTTGTTTTGTTTGCAATAAGCCAAGCTTGCAATTCTGGCATAAATCCTATCTCATCAGGGTATGTTATGCTTTTTCATATTTATCCTGTCAAAATCTTGTGATTGTTTTGAATCTATGTTTATAAGTGATACTGAGTCTATTTTTTTTCTATACAGTCTTTGTCTAATTTTAATTCAAAGTCACATTTACCTGCTTAAATCATTTTGAATAATACTTCTTTTTAATCAGAAAAACTTTCTAGACATTTGAAATAATTTGTTCCTTGAAAGTTTAATAGAATTTTGCTCTAATATGTATAGGCCTGGTCTTTGTTTAATGGGAAGACAGTAAGACATTGCTGTTGATAGTGTTTGTATCACTTTGCATGTCCACCAATGAGTGTAAAGTACCCTTTTCCCCACAGCCTTGCTGACAGAGTATATCGTCAATCTTTTAGGGTTCTTTTTGCCAAATAATTGACAAGAAATGGCATTTTGGTCTAATTCTTTTTCAAGTCTGCTTGATTGTCTTTCATTGTCTCTTATTTTTTGCTCATTATTTCAAATTCAATTTTTATTTCATCAAATGTTTTTTAAATTCAGTATCTAATCATTTTAGCACATGAAATCATCTGGCCCTCAGTCTGTCTGTTGTGTTTGTGATGTTGAATCACAACCACTTGTTTCCTTGCGTGTGCGGTAAGTTCCAGTTATTGTTTTATGCCTGGGATACGTCAGTGAACACAACAATCCAATGGCCCCGCCCTTGTAGAACGTGGAACATACATCAGTCACCACAGGGAGAGGTGAAGAGTAAACAGTCAACAAAACGTACAAGAAATTATGTTTTAAAAGTATGTTAGAAGTTGAAGAGTGCTATAGAAAAAGGGAGGGGAGCCTAGAAAGGGAACTGCAGGAGCCAGAGTGAGAGGACAGGTAGCAGCTTTAACCAGGATGCCAAAGTAACCTCACTGAGATCGTGGAATTCAAGAAAGTAAATGAAGGAGGACAAACCATATGGATATTATGGAGAATAGTATAGACAGAGCAGCCAGTGTCTCAGCAAGAAAGCTGGTGTGGCTAGAGAGAAAAATGAAGGAGAGCCAGAGGCCTAAGAAGGGGTCTGGATCATGCAGCACCTGGTAGACTGCTGGAAGGACTTCGGCTTTTACTAAAAGTGATTTGGGGGGTGGTGGAAGCCATTGGAGGGGTATTGCAGAGACAGAATCTGACTTCTGTCACTCTTGTATTGAGAACAGACTGTAGGTAAGTAATTGTGGAAGGAAGGAAACCGTCTAGGAGACTACTACAAGTATCTGGATGAGCACTGAGAGAGGCTGGAAGCAGGATAATGATGATGAGGATGGTGAGAAGCTGTTGAATTGGATGTATTGGGAAGGAAGAGTCAAGAGGATTTGTTGATGGCTAGCTGTGTGGGTGTGAGAGAGAGACTGCACCATTATGGAAACAGGAAAATGTGCAGATAAAGCACTGGGGTAAAGGGGATCAAAGGTTAGGTTTTAGACATGTTAAGGCTGAAATGTGTATTACATACCTTGGATAAGTAGAGATGTGTTGGGTAGGCAACTGGGTACACAGGTCTGGAGTTTGGAGGAAGGGGTCTGGGCTTGAAATAGAAACTTGGGAGTCATGAACATATAGCGAGCATCTAATTTCGTAAGAATGAAAGAGGTCATCAAGGTATTAAGTGAACATCAGTTCAGAAAGTGGTCCAAAGTAGATCCCGGAGGCACTTCACTGTTGAGAGGGCAGGAAGATGCAAGGAGTTCAGCAAAGAGGAATGAAAAGGGGTTATCACAGAGGTATATGAAAACCCAAGAGAGTACAGTGTCCCAGAAGCTAAGTAAAGAAACGGTTTCAAAGAAGAGGGAGTGATTCACCGTGACAAAGAATGGTGAGCAGTCAAAAGATGAAGACTGAGAAATAATCGTTGGATTTTGCAATGTGAACACTTTTAGTGACCATGAAAAGAACATTCTTTTTGATGGGTAGATTCTAAAACCTGGTAAGAGTGGGTTTAAGAAAAAATAAAGAAATTAGAGATAGCAAGGATAGGCACCTTTTAATGTTTTAGTCTGAAGGAGGACAGAGAAACAGGGCAGTAGCAAGAGTTCGGAAATGTGCTATCAACAGAATTGATCATTGATTTATATTTTATGCTGATGGAAGTGTTCTAGTTGAGATGGAACATTCAGCAATTCAGTAGAGAGGAGAGAGTATTATTAGAACAAAGTCCTCCAGGAGGTGGAGAAGATAAATCACAAAGCAAAGCAAGTACAGAAGTGCAGATGTCTGGAGGTCAATAGAGGTGAAGGTGGGCGCCTGAGGAACTTCCCAGATGTCTCTTGCTGCTTCTTTTAAGTAAGGAAAACACTGATAAGCCCTGTGGTCTTGGATATGCCCATCCTACTAAAAATTTCACCCAATCATCCTCGCTATTACATCATGAGAAAACAATGCTCCTCTCTTTGATCTGTGAGGAATCTAAGCAGAGATTTGTGGCTCACTAAGGCCTGCCAATAGTCACTGGTGAGCCAGATTGCCACATCCTCACGTCCTCAGAAGCCTATGTGATATCCATTTATGCCCTCCCATCATCTTCCCCTCAGCCCCAGATAGATACTTTCTAAGTTTTAAGAGCGGTTCCATAGAGAAGAAATGACAACCATACAGCGTGTTTCCAAGCCCTGACAAAATCTAAATTCCAATCACGTTTCACAACTAAGTTATACAAGCTTGGATAATGTCTTCAACTCACAATGGCCCATTTTCCACATGAGTCCTACTCACATATTGTTACAAGACAGTATGTGTACATTGCATCGCACAATGCAAAGATCCTGCATTTCAGTTATTTTCTCTGTTCCATACTGTCCCTATTCTGAATGCCAGAGTGTAACAAATGAGCATATATTAGGGATAAATAGACACATCCAGGAAGCGTTCTCTGCAAATTTGCTTATGTTCAATTATCTTAAATATGTATACATTTATAAAATGCATTCATCAATTTAAACTACTAGATTACTAGATGTCTTTCAAAGGTACATGCTATAAGATTTCTAATAGATTGACTTCTCAAACATGATCATTGGTCCGTCGAGTATTTATTAAAGGAAAATCTACTCTAGACTTTCTAGGTCAGCAAGCACTTGATTATTTTGTTGTATTTTTACCAGTTTACAGATTTCTATCTGATGTGTGTGTATATAAAGGGAGTGAATGTGAGAGAGAGAAGGCAGTTATGCACTTGGACTTCAATTAAACTGTAAGGCCTATGGTCTTCAGTTTTTGATTTTATACACATTGCAATCCTCACAATTATATATATTCCAAAGCTTTGGTGCTTGTTCAATAATATATCATGCACAAAAAATACATTAAACACATATTACAACACAGTTGCAAGGTTTTCATCACAGAAATATGTAAGGATATTTCATTTTTTAAAAGTGCCTTTTGCTATAGGGTTTTTAAAAAATCATTTTGTAGTGAAAAATTAACTACTGGTTTCTTTGATGTGTTAGTTTGACCGAAAGAATGTATTACTAGAGAATGCTTATTATTTTTATAACCATATTTCATTTAAAATCTTTCTGAAAAAAAAAAGTTCATTTGTTTTTTTGTAGGTCTGGGCAAAGGATGATAAAAAGCCTTAGAGTCCAGGCAATCATGCTGAAAACACAGGGCAGGTGTCATTTTTTATTGTGATTGGCCAGAGCTGAAATCAGGACTTTCTCCCTCTCTCAGAAGCTATAGTGGAATTTACAGTAATCCCCCTGGCTGACTGCCCATCACACTGCTGAACAGCATAACAACAACAAAAACATAATATCTGGGGAGAAGGCCAAAACATATATTAAAAATTCTCATTGTTTTTATTCTTCAACATTCAAAGATGATTTTTTTAAGAGAAAAGAAAAAACTCACCCAGCTGTTACCGCTATTCATATTCCAACAGCCTCCAGATTGCTCGAGGCCACCTGGTTGACTTTTGCCTTGGAGTCGGTCCAGAAAAGCATTATTTACCCTTTAAAACAATGAAAAATGTGTGTGAGTAGAAAGATTGCTGCAGGGCTGAGAGATTTCTGAGAACCTAATGTGTTGTGTGAACTGACCGTGGGGATAGCTTCCTGGCTTCAGCTTAGAATAAATCTACAGAAACTTCTCTTCATACTAAACATATGACACGCTATTAACCGCTCTTTACTGGAGATAGTGCCAATCTTGGCTCAAGCCAAAGGGGGTATGAATTCTTAACCTGAGAGTTTCAGGCACTCATCTCCTACCAGTTCAGCAAGACCCTAGTTCAAGAAAGAAACTACAGCCCTCAGAGTCATGCCAGGTATGAACCTCAGAGGCTGGAGAAAGACAGAAGCCTCAGCACGAACCAAAACATGAAGAACCACCAAAGATAGCTCTATGGCATTATTGCTGCAAGATAGATGTCCTTCCCATGTTCCCTGCACTCCACTGCCAGTCTTGCTAAAGTAAACCCTACACATGAAAAGCAGAAATGGAAGGTAGTAGGGTGATGGTTATATTATTCTATTTCTGGAGCTCGCTACCTGGTTGTTCACTTTATAATGAATCATTATAAATATCTGCTTTATAGAACTTTCTGTGTTTCATATTACAATTTTTAAATTTAAAATAATAAATCACAGGTAACACCATGCTCTGAGTTGCCCACGTATGGCTGAATAGAGTCAGGGACTTGGAAGCTGAAGAAATGGCACTGCAATAGGTACCCTATAATATCAACAGATTATTTAGGAAGTGCAGAAATAATTGTGTTTCTTGGAAGCAGAAACACAACGCCTGGTGCATAGCAGCAAATATACATTTATGGAAGGATGGAAGGCAGGAATCAGTCACAGGGGCCTCTTGTTCAGTCATGAAGATAAGCAGAATGTGGTCATGGTGAGTGGCTACAGGCCGGTGACTGGGGAGGTTTGGGAACTTTGAGGAAAATAAACGCTGGGTGGCAAAGTCAAAGGCTGGAGGGGGTTTTTGTCTGTCTGTGCTTGCTCAGTGCTAGCTAAGATGCCATCCGTGTGTGGGTTCAGTTGCTGTTTCTTAACAACTCTAGGCCCCATCGGGCTGTGGTTCCACCTCAGCTATTGTAAAGCTTCTTTCCTGTCTTACCATAAAATCCATCCAAGTGCCATATTCTAGTCAGCCTGTTTCACTGCCAAGCTCCATGTTTAAGTCACCTTCTCTGAATCTGTCAGTGTGCAGATAGAATAGTATCCAACTTCGCTGGAGACTTGACTATCAAGAAAAGGAAAATGACCCTGCTCCCCATTAAACAACACAACCACTGGTATCCTGGACTGCCTACATGCCTGGGGCTGTTCTTATCCAGTCTTTTTTGTCATTAACAAAGATGGGCTTTCATTCAGCATCCTCCACCCCACACCCAAACCACTGCAAGGCTTGTTAGCTCTACCTCCTGAACACATCCTAAATTCACGCTTTCCTTTCCATGGATACCATTCTAGTTTAAATTACTATCTCCTCTTCACCTTGCTAGTGCTTTCACTCCCACCTTCCGTAATCTAGTCCCCATACAACAACCTTACTAGATTATGAAAGAAATCTTGTCTTCCTTTAGCTTAAAATTCTCCCATGACTTCCCATTGGTCTTAGAATAAAACTGGCTTATAAAATGTTGTGTTATCTTGCTCCTGCCTACCTTTCCTCCCTCACTGAGTATTATTCTCTTCTTCACTCACTATAATCCCATCACATGGGGTGACGTGTGGTGGCTCATGCCTGTAATCCCAGCGCTTTGGGAGGCCGAGGCGGGTGCATCACTTGAGGTCAGGAGACCAGCATGGCCAACCTGGCAAAACCCCTATCTCTACTAAAAATATAAAAATTAGCCCAGCACAGTGATGGACACCTGTAGTCTCAGCAACTCAGGAGGCTGAGGCAAGAGAATCACTTGAACCGGGGAGGCAGAGGTTGCAGTGAGTGGAGATGATGTCACTACACTCCAGCCTGGGTGACAGAGCAAAACTCTGTCTAAAAAAATAATAAAAATCAAAAATAAAATGAAATAATCATAAAATCCCATCACTTGGGACTCAAAAAGTCCAAGCTCATTTGCACTTGAGAGCCTCTGCGCTTGCTTCTCCCCTGTTCGTAGGCCATCTAAGTCCATGCATCTGCCCCCAGTCTCTATGTGGCTGGTTCTTCCTTTTCCTTTGATGTCACCTCTGCAGTGAGGCTTTCCTAAGTAACCTATCACCTCCAGTTTCTTCCTTAATATCCCCTTGTGATATGGTCCTCACAGTACACATCACCATCTGAAATAACAGTGCCTTTGATTGTGGACTTCCATTTCTCTCCTCCAGATTATAATTTCCACATGGTCAGGGACCCCTTCTGCCATGTTTTGCCCTATTCCCGGGACCTAGAACTAAACCTTTATGGAACATGACCTGATAATGTAGTTACTGAATGAACAAATCTTCCTGGCACACATTCTTCACCCTGAAAACAACATGGATGATGAGTGCAGACTGCAAAACAGCTCACTGGCAATTGCTCTTAATTCACTCAAACCCTGCGAAGACCGATGCCTTGTCACGAAGACATAAGGTAATGTGATTCACTTTTGAGCGTCAGTTACTAAGAGGACATCAGAGTGGCTGAGCACTCTTTGATGCTATAGGAGTGTCCTCAACTTGCCTATGTCCATGGCAGTGTGAGTCAGCCAGAGATAATGGGGGGAAAAGAGTTTGCTTCTCTCAATTCCTATCAAGAATCTAAATGGGAGGGAAAAGAACCAATTTCTATTTTTGTTGAATAGTTTTAGAAAGTGCATACATGCTCCTGCGGTCAAAGTTGTGCTCTGGGTTTTCTTCTGAGGGTTAATTTGGATAAAAACTATTATTCAGGGATGCTTTAAGTTTGAATAAATCAATTCAGTTCATCCCAGTTTTCACCTCACGGCCCAAATCCTTTCAAGTCCTTGACCCCCATGCTCTCTCGTTTCTTGCCAGAGTTTCTACTTGTCTTCTCCTACTCAAATACTTACAACGGGTCAGGTCCAGGTGCACCCAAGCTCATTACAGGTTCATTGAAAAGCTTGTCAGGAATCTCACAGCTTTCTATTATAACACTCAGAGTTGAGTTTTCTGCAATGTGAACTTTTAAACTGTAGAAAGCACGTGGTCTTTTTGATGCCAATAAAATTGTGCCTCTGGAGAAAACCTAATTTACATCCCCTACACATATACTATATAGCTTGTGGTGTTGCCTTGAGTAAGAATGGACACAGCTATTTTATTAAGAGCTCATTGAATATGTATTCTCACATGATAACATGGGAAAGCTCATGGCACGCTTTAAAGGCAATACAAATGTAAGCTCTTTTCAAAAATTGATGAAGAGCATAAAATATATATTTAATAACTTGATCAGAGACTTCAAAACTAATTACTGAGTTTATTATCTAGAAAAATCTCTTATTGGATTAAATTTGGAGCTATACATTTATTGGATCTATTTAAGTAGAATCAAAAGAAAGAGAAAATAACATATAGAAATTAAACAGCCCCACCAATATTTAGGTATTCAATAATATGGAAATAAAGAATGGGAGCCAAGATTCCTATAACAAAAAAGTTATCTTTTCCACCTCTAATCAAATAGCTTGGGTGTTTATTAGGTGCCCATCAAAGATAAATATTTTAGCAATGGAGCCTATTAATGTGACACATCACTATGTTTAAGATGCTTAAAGTCTTACAGTTCAATTAATCCTCAGAAGTCCAGAGAAATAACTGGCTACTACTGGCAATCAGTTTATAAATACAATATCAAGTGTTTTTTTAAACAGAAAGTATTTTAAAGAAAAAATAGGCCAGGTGCGGTGGCTCATGCCTGTAATCCCAGCACTTTGGGAAGCCGAGGCGGGCGGATCACCTGAGGTCAGGAGTTCAAGACCAGCCTGGCCAACAGGTGAAACCACATCTCCACTAAAAATACAAAAATTAGCCGGGCATGGTGGCATGTGCCTGTAATCCCAGCTACTCAGGAGGCTGAGGCAGGAGAATCACCTGAACCTGGGAGGCAGAGGTTGCAGTGAGCCAAGATCCCACCACTACACTCCCGCCTAGGCAACAGAGTGAGACTTTGTCTCAAATGAGAGAGAGAGACAGAGAGAGAGAGAGAGAGAGAAGGAGGGAAGGAAGGAAAGAAAACAGTAATAAAATGACAAAATTATGGCCTACTTTATAATAAATAGTTAGCATCCTTCCCCACCACCATCTTATCCAACAATGTAGCCTAACCAACATATCAGAGTTTTGATATTTCCTTAAATAAGAGAAAAAATATATAACTCACATTTGTAGTTTTAAAACTATTTTGACTGGACTATGGGAACAACATAGTCCAGTCAAATAAATGTGAGGCCGCCGCCCACAGTTAGAGGCACCATCAGAATAGGGCACTTCCACTGAACGCTTTTTAAAGTCTCTCATTTAGAAAATGAAACCACCATAACTTAAAAACACACATTAGTGACAGTGAGAAGGTTAAATACATAAAAGAAGCCATTCACTATCAAAAGAATTTGTTCCTTTACATTGTGAAAACCCTTACATTCTTCTCCAAGATACTCAAGTACACCCCTAATGAACTCCAACAACCCGTGTCTCCCCTAGAAATCTTAGCATAATAATGGCAGACAATATGGTGCTTATTAGCACTGTCCCAACAGTAACACGATATTTTACTAGGTATTCTTAAGTCTGACATTAGGATTAAGATGGAGAGTGCTCAGACTATTTGAAAATTACTTAATGGTTCTAAGATTTTTTTCTCTAATGTATTTGTCAATATTAAATAACTTTAATGAGTTTTTGTCTGAGCTTTTGTACTCAAGTATGGGTATCTGACCATCTATATTAACGTAATTATTCTAATTAAGTCTATAAATGGTACAGCATCATCTCAAATTAGGATGCTCTGTCCCATGGAAGGAAAATTAAACCTACCTTAATTGAACACACAGCTTAAGAACATGATTCAGTTTCCTAATGTGAGTTTATGCCACCTATCCAAGAAAATTGGATATTTGTGTGCATGCACATATGTACACGTGTGTGTGCTCATATATGTAGCAGTTGGCATACCTCATACATATATCACATCTCAACAACAGATTTAAATGTAATACACATTCCAAAACCATAATAAAAATGTTACTGTAATGTTTTCCTAAAACACTGTACAAACTTTGTAGGTAATTGATTTAACCAAGGATGCTTATTTTATTAGCCAGTTATACCTCCTGTGTTCAGTCTGCTGGACTTTGGCTCTTTTTTCCTCTTGCTGCTGCCGCTTAAGTTCCAGTAATTCACTCTAGGAACAATAAAAGTTTTAAAATATGGTTTTCAATTAACACGGTTGTACAGAAGACACCCAAATCAATTACATATTTAACCTCAACTGGTACAATATTTCATTTTTGAAACTTTTACTTAAGTACTATTTGGATGTGAAATTATTTTCTTATATACGTAGGTAGCAAATAACTGTGGCTTAGTCAAAGAGAATTGCTCTGTGAGTGTAAAATTGCTAGATTAAAAGCCAATGTGCATGGTCAAGATACTAGACCAATAGGTACAACACAAACAGAGAGAAATACAATGTAAGTCTAATTCATCTATGTCTTACAGAGAAAAACAAATCAAATTAGTTCCTTCAGGAATATCACACAATACTATTTCTTGGTATTTCTCTAGCATTTCTTTCCTAATAAATTCATAGCAACTTACAAATAAATATTGGACTCAATCTTGTAGTACAATTCTCTTAATAAAACATTCTCTATCCTGGAGAATAAGCAATCACCTATTATTGGTTAGTTACTTCTTAATACCAGCAGAACTTTGAGATCTCTGGAGGAGATAGTTTGCTTCATATAAATCACATTATTATAACTAAATCTTTAGCTTCCAACAGTCTGCTTATCTTCTGGGAAGATGCAACTTAACTTCCAGACCCAGTTACTATGTTTACAGTATTATACCAAAGAACCAATCCCAGGATTTCTCTAATACCCAACTGTCTACCCTAAGGCAGAATAAATTTTAATCCCATTTCAAAGACAAAAAAAATGCAAAGAGAAGAAAATTATTAGGCCCAAGTCATATACCAGTGCCTGAGTCAGAGAGACTTTCTGGTAGAGAAAATACTGTGTCTTAATCAACACATACCAATAAAAGGTTGCTATTGTTGTTTTAACTCCCAAACTTCCTTGATGAAAAGTATACAAAAAACTCAGCGTTCAGGTTGACATTTTATTAACTTTGTTCAAAGATCCTCTAATATTCCACAGTCCCCCAAAATAAAAAGACTTGTTTCTTATACTGTGATATTCCAAATAAATTGCTCATCAATCCCTAAAGCACATTACTTAACTCTAATTCCTACATAACACCAAGGGGAAATCATTGAATAATATTTGAGTTTTTGAATCAGTGAATAATATTTGCCCACTCGATAAGCATTTATTATGCACCTAGCTGCCAAGTTTTATGCTCAAGTCTCACTCTTGTACAACAGGATCGTTTTTTTAGTCTACCAAGTATTA